CGGTATTGCTAATCTGAATGGGATACAATACTTATTGAGAGGTATACATTGGATAACTAACCCGAGCGAAGGTAGTCTGGAGCAGTGATCTTCAGCTCAGAAGATTTTGCTAAGCCACAAATTATGCGACAAAATAAGTGGATCATCAGTCAGATCTTGTGCAACATATTAATTTTCGCATATATATTCGAAAAAGAAAAGATATTATCTTTTGTTCTTTATTTTTTCCCGAACAAACATGAGAAAAATGTGAAAGGGGGTCTAGTTTCAACATAGGACCTACCCTATAAGTAAATAGTGCTGATAAAAGCATATGTTATGAAAGGCTGAGGACTTTGTAATTTTGAGATCGTTAGACGTAATACTGAGTATGTGTCTCTCCGGTAGATCTACATGTGAAAAGGTAAGAGAATTCCGTTTACATGTGCTTTCAAAGAGCTCTTGGCATCATACGACAATACTAATTACGCCTCATACCTCCTTAACTTCGGCTTGGCGCTCTTTTTCCCAGGCATATATAAAGCATGTAGAGGTATGTGGAAGTTCAGCCAACATTCCCGCGAAAAAAATTAAGGTATGTATATGCTAGAATTATGTATGTATGGAAGCGAAGTTTTCTCACTATGGGTTCTTATATTTAGAAAATGGCTAATATTGAAACTACTATACATTTTCGCATTGATGGAGATGGTATTTTTGCGTATAATGTTGATTTAGCCGTACTAAGTGTTAGAGCACTAAAAGATAGGCTTCTAACGCTAGGATATATCACTTTTAGGGATGCTAGACTCTGCAGAATCGATTGGAACAGAGAAATAGAAATGACTATGAGGTCTGATGCTTTGGTCAAAGAATATTTCGGTGGAGAGCATTATCCCAATCTCGACCCCAATTTAATTCACATTATCATAAAAAATCCTCCTACTAAAACAACGACATCGGTAGCCCCAGACACTGATAAATAGAAGTTATTATTCATATCATGTAGCGACAAAGTCGCAAATTTTATGTATTGTAGGCCAACTTCCGGCAACTTTTTTATTTCATAAATAAAATATTATTTTATCGAACGTATATGAGAAAGTGGGTCACGTGTAATGATGCGGTCCCAAAGGGATCATGCAATGCCTGTGCTACATAAAAGCCTATATTAACGCCCAGTATTTTCTTTCCCGAACAGAAATAAATTTTATCTCACTCCAGAACGTAACACTATTTTTTTTTGTCCGAGCTTATTTTCATTATAAACCTAACACTATGTCTGAAATAGTAGATACACCCACTTCCACCTCTACTACTATTGCTAGAAATGAGACGGTCTTGTTAGCGGACGAAATAAAAAAATATGATACAGCCAAGCTTATAGAATATTTGCAGGAATAGGAGGACTTAGGACTTAGCGAGTCAGCTTTTAAAATATTAGAAAATGAAGAGATTAATGGTTGTACCTTTTTCAAGATAACCAAAGAAGAGCTTGAGCGTCATAGAATAAAATTAGGACCTGCAACAGCTCTCGTGAACTTTGCCAAAAAATATAAGGAGAAAAAGCTGAGGTCGTTCTCCTCGTATAAGACCAAGGCGGACTTGGAGAAAGTATTGCAAGAAGATTATAAAATCTCGAGTGGGGATATTACTCTTATTCCACAGTTCAAACCAGTTACCTGTCCTGTTGACGAAAACGCTTCAGAGTTTAAGCTCTACATTGACGATATCCTTCGCAGGATAAGGAATATGGGACCAGTTGTAGATAGTAACGAGGCTATGCGTTGTGAGTATATTTCTACCATTCTTCACACGGCGTTGAGTCTCCTCAAAGGTTTAATAATCACTCCCCAGATGAAAATAACCGGCGAGATAAATACTGGTCGTGTTGACTATGCAATCAAAAAAATTCTGGACGACTTGCTTGAAGAAATAATATGCATAACCGAGGGTAAACAGAATCAAGTATCTGCCAAAACTTACTACAATATCGAAGTGCTTGTGATGTAAGTATAGCAAATTCTACTAGCTCGCTCGCTATAGGATGATCATGGGCTATTGCTAACTTACTACTCCATTTCCCTCAGATGAATATAAATATGAACAAGAAATAAAGAAAGGTGGATGAGGCATTCGATCCCGACTACGACTACGTCTATAGTATAGTCAGTACTGGAATTGACTGGTACTTCATTCTTCACAGTACTGAGAGTATATATAGTACAAGCAGGACTGAATACCGAATTTCACTAACAGAAGACGCTCTCAAAGATGATACAGAATTGTGTAAGAATGTGAAGAGGGTTTTAGAAGTGATCGTAGGATTATTAAAGGATAGAGCAGTAGGTAGTGAGGAACCCGCAACTAAGAAGCGCCGTGTAGAAGAGATAATCAAGAAAAAATAATTGTATAGGACACTAACATAGACGTCATATATCACAGGTACAGTCCCGAACTTTGTATTTATTTTCATGTATTAATAAAAAATTTTCTTGGCAAAAGTGATCTGCGTGACAAATTGTTACGCGATCATGATTTTTTTTATCTATTACTATACTAACTCGAACTTTTGAACTATCCCATCTCGTATAAAAAGTATTATCAAACATGCAATCTGAGATTGATTCATTGAAAGAAATAAATTCGAAACTCTTAGCCGAGATTAGTGAACTTAGAAAGGAGAATGCCGAAGTCAAGGCTGAGAATATCGAAGTTAAGGTTGAGAATGCGAAGTTAAAGCATGCTTTGGAAGAACATGAAGCCAGATTCACGAACCTAGAACAGAGAGATAAAGAAAAGACCACCCTTATTGCTAAATTAGATGATGATATCAGGGAAATCAAATAGGAACAAAATGTTAATATTTTGATACAAAGCAATACATCTATACCAAAGTCTCCAATTCATTCAATAAGTTCACAATCATCTATTTCGCCAAATATTGAGGGAATTTCAAAGCAATCGGATTACTCTGATCATTCTATTGAGAAGAATAATGCTGACCCTATATCTCAGAATTTCGATTCAATACCTTTAAATCAAACTAATATATCTTCCGTTGTAGACCAGTATGATACTACCGAATCTAAATCATTGGAGGATGATAGAGAGACGGATTCTTTCTTAGATAAGGTGCATAGGAAGAAGGTTAGTAATGAGAAAAGGGAGAGAAAGCGGAAAATAAAACTTCAGCATGAATTGACTATCCAAGACTCATCCTCAATTACTCCTGTCTCATCCTGTCCACTCATTAGTTCGTGTTCAGAGAAAAATGTTGAAAAACTATGTTTGAAGGAGGGAGATAATCAGAACACTCCGTCACATCAAAAAATCCTTTATAGGCAAAAAGTGGAGTAAGGTTTAAGATAGGAACTATCATCCTTTTGCAGTAAAGACAATGATGGCATGGTGTTTGACATTCAGATTTCTGAATTCTCCTTAGAAGCGATTCTAACAGGGTCTAGTAATATTACAGCACAAACCATAGTCGATCTATTTAATGTAGCAATGAAGGTTAGACAAAAGGAGATACTATGCTGGTATTGTTACTATAAAGCGTACGAGGATCGAATTAGGAATGTTAAATCTACGAATAAGATTGATGACCAATTGGCAAGGACATTGGTATACAGCAAAATCAAATTCCTTCTTCCAGACATTACTGACGTGAACTTACGTAAAATCACTTCTAGAGCTAAAAAAGTTTATATATTATTCGAGGGGATAGGAATAGATAAAATTCAAGCAGTTACCTATAGCGCAAGTGCTATTTCAAGTCTGATAGAAATTCAGATCCAAGGTATTATAAGTTGTTTTCTCAAGACTTATAAGTCTTCTACGGATGAATGCCAAAAAATGATCAGCATGACAAATCATCACGCGCACGTGACTGGATCTTTACCTAATGAAAAAGAAATCAAGATAAATGCTTCACCAGAAATGATTTCATCAATCACGCCTCAAGCAAGTAGGACTAATCCAACTTATGACTGAGCTTATTTTCGCAACAAGATATTGGATCAATATCCTAATCTATATAGAGAATGTAGTTGTGAAAGTTTCGATTATTATGGGATTACTGATGAGACATCATGCGGGGACTACATCTGCCCATTATGCAAATTAGGTCATAATGATGAAGAAATAGAAGGTGAGTATAAGGCTGGATCTTACTTTATTAAATGTGAACAGCGCAAAATTGAGATAACTGCATAGTCTAGATGATTAGACAGCTTTCTATCTGAAAAAATTTTTAATCTTTTTTTTCGAATTGATGACTTGAGGAAGAAAAAGGGATTTAAATTGTTTGCAATCATATAAAAAGAAAAATGACTGAGCCTGATAAAATACTAACTGCCGAATATCTGGATTGGCATACCAAATTAATTGGATTACCAAGTATTTTGATAGATAAGATTCGTTCCAAATTATACAAAAGATATAAAAAACAAACTGGAAATGAACCATGGCAACTAACAGAAGTACATGAATCGGAAGTTATAAATTCGAAGCCAGAAAACAAAGTATCCGATTTATCTTTTCCATCGGGCTCACGCTCTGAACAATGTGAAGAAAAAGGGCCTATCACTTTCGAAGCAAAACTTGATTCAGAGTTAATTATCAAATCCGTCTTAGAGCATTTCCCATACTTGAAATTCCGAAATAGCTTTAGAGGGATTGATAATTATAATTTTGCATCACCTCAGCCGTGGAGCTCACCCTGTCCTATTTGCGATGGAAAACATGGGAATTATGGATTACATGGCTTATGGTACTGCGAAAATGGGAATCAGCTCCCTTATGAACCTGAATTAGCGAAATTCTATTCTCAAGATAAGTTGGAATATTGTCTTACCTGCAACACTTCAAGCAATAAACTTAAGTTTGCGATCGTAACATAGTTCGGTCATGTGAGATCAATCACCTGAAAAAATGCATAGTACAATATTTTTTTCTATGTACATATCTTCTGAAGCCTTGCAAATAGGTAAGTAAAGAAGCAACATTCACGACGTACTGCAGTATGAAAGAGTGCCGGCAAAAAAAAATACTGGAGAAGAAACTTCTGGACAAGACATTATGCAGTTTACTTTCGGTTGTATTGGGTATTTGCAAGGAAGTAACAAGCTAATAGACAATTTTTTCATTTAGGATTTTGAGAATAATATTAGCATCATAGAAGGGGAAGCAGTATAATGCTTCAATTTTTTATAAATAGCTAGTTTGAAGTAGCATCATCATGTAGCAGTCTTTGATCAGTATTATGTATTTTTTTCTCGTATGATCAATAAAGCAAAGAAGCAATTAATTTACAAAATCCAGATATACAATGGAGGGATTGTGGGAAGCGTGTATGCTAATATATTTTTTCGATCAAGTTTTATAGTTTTATTGCAACAAAATCATTGATCTAGAACTTAATAAATGCGCAATATCATTCGAAACATTTTAGTATAGACGTCACATGTATCACGGGAACAAGTAACTGCGCATAATAATTTATTCTCGCATATTCTCAAAATTATTACATATATTAAAAAAGGCCCTCTTGATGATCTTTACATATGGATAGCGTTAAATTCTTTTATTGTTAAATTAAGGAGAGTCCGTTGATCAGAATTCGTGATGCGATCATATTAACATAATTTCCCCAAAAGCGTATAACAAAATCGACTCTGTGAATTATATAAAAAGATGATGTCCTGGTTAGTAAATCCTTTTATCCGCCTTGTATAAGTAAAATAAAAATCAAATAAAACTAATAAAACCAATCTAACTTACCATTATTTGCATCATTGATATTAACAATCAAGCGAACTCGTATTTTCCGCAAAGTAATAATAAAGTAAGTTGGCTAACTTCTTGAGACATGTCATTACGATGTTAATCGATTTTTCTGTCTCTATAGATGTTCCAAAATAAAACGGATATATTACTCTTCTTGCTATGTATCGGCATTCTGATCTTCGCCGAGAAAATCACTGACCGTCATCACGCGTACAATAGACGCAGTGAAATTACTCACATGAATCTCGTCACATGCAATGGCACAGCAAAAATGCATCAAAAAATTTATCTTATATAAGCATCTTCACGTGCCGAATTCTTAAAACTTTGCGCAGTATCGTACCGGCGATAACGCAGAAAAAATTAAGCAATAAATATCTTGTGTATGAGGCGGAATGGAATTATGTGAAAATGAATCGTGATGGTAAGTGTAAATCGTTATTGTATTATTTTTTTTTACCTCATTGCTAATACTTTCGTAATTATACTATAGGTTCGAAATTTCTTAATCTCAGAGATGTTCTCTTTCGAGAAATAATGCTTTGTGTATTTGGGAGAAATATAGATAGACAAAAATTCTGTAAATATGGGTGGGATAATATATTAAAAGAGTATGAGGGTGAGAATCACGTAATTAGCAATAGAAGTAGAAATAAGTTAGTTATAGATATTTTTCGTAAATGAGAGAGCAAAGAAATAACTTGATGCTGGGACTCGTATTAAATGGCCTAGGATCCGCGTGCTCCCTCTCATCATATTCTCTCTTGCATTTCAGCATCATATTACATTGTATATTATCACCCTCTTTTTCTCATAATAAAGTTTTCGCTCAAATCAGGTTTATAAATTTAATCTTGTGGAAGTGTGTACATTTAAAATGTTATGCTATTAATTAACTATTATATAGAATGGAGATTTGGCTGATAAAAGGCTGGACTATCAAGAGATAAACCGAATACTCATTGACTCACGAGCTGACGCGAGGAATTTCAGCAAAGTTGCTCTCCTTATAGAATTGATCCTGCGAATTATATAAAAAGATTATGTTCTGGTTAGTGAAACCTTTTATCCACCTTGTGCAGGTAAAGCAAAAATCAAATAAAAATTAAACTTATCAGTAGAGAGTTAACAGTTCTGTATTTTATCGTGCAAGCCATGAATCAGAGTGTGCAAGCAAGAACGGGTGTTTAGGCCGGTGATTGACACTCCGAACCATAGTTGTGGGCTGTGAACAGAGTGTGCAAGCAAGAACGGGTGTTTAGGCCGGTGATTGACACTCCGAACCATAGTTGTGGGATGCTGTGAACCAGAGTGTGCAAGCAAGAACGGGTGTTTAGGCCGGTGATTGACACTCTAAGCCACAGCAATACTCTGACGGTCACGAAACGATCCTATAATAATCTGATTCATCTGATTCAGGTTACACAGAATTTGATTTTATATGTGATAATCGTTTCGTAATGAGTCAGTCGAATTATGAACATTTACCAATATCGTGCTCCTTCGGATTCCAACGTGTGTTCTTACTTCAAGACATTTCCCCTTAGTGTTTGGTCTCACAAGCACTTCATCGAGAACACAAACATCCTAGATTTTGAGCAATCAACGCGACTCTGGTACGAAAACCTCACCACCATAAGAAATCTTCCTAATTCACTGGTTAGTAAAGAGATACTTGATATAATTACCAAGAGAAAGATGGGCGACACGTTTACTCTTAACAAAAAGAAGCGCAAGTACGCTGAAGATGAAGTACACACCAGTTCTGTAGGTTTCTCTTATATACGCTTTCAATATTCGAGAGGAAATATCGCATTTCTGATCAGTTTGCTTACCATATTAGGTCACGACCTCCGCTGAACTTCTAAAGGACACTTTCGAGCATCATAAAAAATATACACAACAGAAATTGGACGTGTCTGCGACCCCATCACCGCCTTCAACAGTTACCTTTGCTATAAATCAAGATAATGAGTTTTCTGAAGAGGCTGTTATAGTTATTGAGGTGAGTATAGTTCGTAGTTTTGTAAGCAAATTAGATGCGACTGACACATAATAAATCTTTTTTTTAATATGGTGCAGGCAAAAACATCTGATGAACATATTTACTCAGCTGTGAATGAAAGCGAGATAACTAAACAAAAACCAAGAAACAGCTTTCTGCCCTCTAGTACAAGTAAACCCTCAGGCAACGAAGTTTCAAATCCCGGCATTAGTCTATCTGGTCTACCCTCTATGACAAATAATTCCACTACTAAGTCAAATGCTGAAGAGATTGAGGTCGAAAATGAAGAAGAAATAAAATTTGATCTTCTTGATATTTCACTAGAATTTCAACGCGAGCCAACAGTTAACGTATGTCACATATATTTTGGTTCTTATATTTTGCATATCTCTCAGTTTTCTTCCTTTTTTTAGTGGGAAGTTGGTAATATCAACATAACTGATAGATTTCGAAAATACCAGAAAGATGTGCTCAGAAAAGCAGAACGGGAAGGTTTATACTACAAAAACATTTATGAGCTATTGTAAATATTCTGAAATGTAACATTTTATTATGATTATATCAGGATTTATTAAATTTTTTTTTTGTCACCTCATTTAGAGCACTATCGTCGATCATGGTTATTTGTTGGCCGTGTCCGTACCATATTTTTACAAATCAAGAGTGGGCAGAGATTATAAAAACCAATCCGTATGCAATTGAAAACACTTCGCTTCCACAAGAGATTTCGATATCTCTTCATAAAGCAAGTTGTGAGAATTTTATTGGCGAAGAAATATTTATGAATGGAGGAAAAACAACATTAAGCAAAAGAGTTGCAACTTCATTGAATGATTTGTATGTTTTATAATATATTGTTGTTATGAATTAGTTTGAGTTTTGTGGTTCACGAAATTTTGATATGTTATACAGATATAGCGGTTTATCAACGGCCTCATCTAAAATAACGGAAAAGATTACCGAAGAAGAACATTGTTATAAGTTTTTATATCCAATAACCAAACCTTTCTTCCTTAACTCCTTGAAGGAGTATGAAGTTATATTAAACCGTGCCACCGCAGGCTCAAAGAAAAGGCCGGATTTGTCGTGCGTGGTAGATGGTGTTACGATTCTAAATTCGGAGATTAAACCTTTAAGGTGCACACAACTACAAATGCAGAAAGACATCCTGAAATCACATTTAAGAGCTCGAAGATCGATAAATATCCAATTAAAGAATAAGGGCGGGCCTGGGGAATCAGGCTTATTTTTAAACATGGGTATGTGTTTCAGTGCTTGCAATAAATTACATAGAAGAAGTTTGTTATATTGCATTACTAACTGCAATAACTAGGAGAGTTGATGGAATCGTATATAATGGACCTAAAATACGACGGACTGTACCGATCGTGGTCGTTTCTCACAACAAAGCTAGTCATTGACAAGGCATCTATTCCACTCGCTGAATACGCAATTAGTCATATAATTGCCTTGGAGGTATGTGGTATTTTCACTTTAGTTTGTAATGAAATAATTCGTTGACTTGACGTTTGCAATGGTAGGAACGTATTGAAAAAATTGCGGTAAATTATAAATATCGGGACACCCGGAACCAGGAAAATCGAAGTGGTACAACTACGCCACCTGTATGCTTTATGCGTACATCTCCAGACACTCCTCAGGTGAAACAGTTGCTTCAGCGATAAACGAGAATCCAAATAAATTTATCGGCACTGTTATGATTATATTTTTTTATTTTACTTGCATAAATTTCAACTTATAATCTGCATAAATTGCTTCATAATATGTATTATGTAACCAAAATAATAATAGTTTCATCCTTAGCGTTAGGGTTAGCATTTTTCAATTTCGTGTTTAAATTTTTACATCAGACTAATAAAAAATCGAACTCGTATATACAGTATTATTTTTATTGCTAAATTCTCTATTGATCGGTAGTACAAATACAGCATAATGTGTGCAACCATCGGTTGTGATATACTTTTTCAGTCATGAATTAGCATTTTTTGCTTTACTCACATATAGAGTTAGTAAATTACCTTACACCATCGAATTCACCGATGATGTTTTGAATGAGAAATCCAGGGCTTGTGCGAAAGTGTGAAAAGAGTTTTGGGTGTGGTAGTTGGGTTATTATTAAAGGTTAGGGCATGTTTGGATGATGAGCCCGATAGAAAAAGGGCTAGGATTGAGGGTTATCGATCAAAAAAATAATCGTGTATATGTCTGCCATCATTAGCATAGACGTCATGTATCATGGGCAAAGTCGTATTGCATGTAATAGTCATGTAATAATAAAAAATTTTCTTGGCAAATTTCGGCGAACTCAGTTCGCCCAAAAACACATATTTTTTTTATTTGAATGCTTATATACATTGTATTAGTTATATATAGATCATGTCATCCGAGCTTGAATTATTGAAACAGCACATCACTGAACTTGAGGCTGAGAATACAGAGCTTAGGAAGGAGAATACTGAGATCCCCAATCTCTCTTTTCATTGAGTAATGAAAGAATAGCTGAACTTAAACCGGAAATCGTTATTCCTAATAGGATACAAAAAATTAAGGAGTTCGATCTCCTTTATTCACAGATATAAGTAATTGCGTCACGGGCATGCATAATCTGCCGGGGAATTATCCATTCAATAATTATCAAGATCCTAACCTTTCACGGGATCGGCTAACGTATCCAAGAGTGCATTATGTTCTTTCACCCCAAATGCATTAGACC